ATTACATTTATTGATTTGTGAATGCAGAACCATTCTTGCTTCTCTGGGATAAATCCCACTTGTTGAGATGCATGATCTTTTTTATGTAGCTTTGGATTTGGTTTGCTAGTATTTTGTTGAAAATCTTTGCATCTATGTTCATCAAAGATACAGGTCTCTAGTTTTCTTTTTGTGTTGCTTCTTTTTTTAAGATTTATTTACTTATTTGAAAGTCGGAGTTACACAGAGAGAGGCAAGGTAGAGAGAGAGAGAGAGAGAGAGAGAGAGAGCTTCCATCAGATGGTTCACTCTCCAGTTGGCTCAATGGCCAGAGCTGGACCAATCTGAAGTCAGGAGCCAAGATCTTCCTCTGGATCTCCCATGTGGGTGCAGGGGCCCAAGAATTTGGGCCATTTTCCATTGCTTTCCCAGGCCATAGTAGAGAGCTAGATTGGAAGTGGAGTAGCTGGGTTTCAAACTGGTGCCTATATGGGATGCCAGTGCTTCAGGCCAGGGCGTTAACCTGCTGCACCACAGCGCTGGCCCCTGTGTTGCTCCTTTGTTTAGTTTTTTTTTTTTCCTCAAATAAACCTTTTACTTAATTAGTACAAATTTCATAGGTATAACTTTAGGAATATAGTGATTCTTCCAACCATACCTGCCTTCCCACCCAACCTCCTCCTTCTCCAATTCCCAGTCCATTCTCCATTAAGATTCATTTTCAAATAACTTTATACACAGAAAATCAACTCTATACTAAGTAAAGATTTCAACAGTTTGCACAAATACACACACACACATACACAAAACTGTTTGAGAACAACTTTACAGCTAATTCTCACATTATAACTCATTGAGGACAGAAGTCCTGCATGGGAAATAAGTGCACAGTGACTCATGTTGTTAATTTAACAATTAACACTCTTATGTATGATGCCAGTGATCAACCAAGGCTCTTGACATGAGCTGCCAAGACTGTGGAAGCCTTTGGAATCCATAATCTCTGTCAGTATTTAGACAAGGCCATAAACAAAGTGGAAGTTCTCACCTCCCTTCAGAGAAAAGTATATCCTTCTTTGATGGCCACTTCTTTCCATTGGGGTCTCTGTTACAGAAATCCTTCATGTAGGACTTTTTTTTTGCCACAATGTCTTGGCTTTACATGCCTGAAATACTCTCATGGGCTTTTCAGCCAGACCAGAATGCCTTAAGGGCTGATTCAGAGGCCAGAGTGCTATTTAAAGTGATTGTCATTCTATGAATCTGCTGTGTGGACTGCTTCCCATGTTGGAACGTTCTCTCCTTTTTAATTCAGTCTATTATTATTACCAAACACTTGATCTTATTTATATGATCCCTTTAACACTTAATCATATCTTTATAATCACTTTAACACTTAATATTTTCAGTTTAACATTTAAGATGTCATTTTTACCACCTAGCTTAATGGGTTTTGGGGTCCCATGGCAAGTTTTTAAATTGTACCCTTAGAAGTAAGTCCATAGGAATATATGCAGAACTATACAGCTTATCATTACAAACCTCCTCCTCTCTTATTCCCACTCTTTTTTTTTTTTTACTGAGATCTACTTTCAATTGTCTTTATAAACATATGCTTAACTCTATGTTAAATAAAGTGTTTAATAAATAGTATGAACAAGATAAAGAAAACAAAAACAACTGTTCATCTATAGTAATGACAAGGGCTATGCAAATCACTGCTTCTCAAAGTGTCAATTTAACTTCTACATATTTCCTGTATGTGCTATATTAGTTATCACAGATCAGAGAAAACATATGGTATTTGTCCCTGTGGGACTGGCTTATTTCACTAATGAAATAAGTGATATTTTCCAGATTCATCTAATTTATTACAAATGACTGGATTTCATTTTTTTATCACTACGTAGTATTACATAAAGTACATATCCCGTAATTTTTTTATCCAGTGTTCAGCTGACAGGCATTTAAGTTGAATCCATGTCTTAGCTATTGTGAATTGAGTTCTGTAAACATGGGAGTGCAGAAAACACTTTTATTTGCTGATTCCATTTCCCTTGGGTAAATTCCCAGGAGTGGGATGGCTGAGTCATTGGTTTGTCTATATTCAGATTTCTGAGGTATCTCCAAACTGTCTTCCATAGTGGTTTTACCAGTTTGCCTTCTCACCAACAGAGGATTAGAGTAGTCTCCCCCCCTCCCCCAATCCTTGCCAGCATGTGTTGTTTGTTGATTTCTTTATGAAAGCCATTCTAACTGGGGTAAGGTGAAACCTCATTGTGGTTTTGATTTGCATTTCCCTGATGGCTAGTGATCCTGAACATTTTTTCATGTGTCTGTTGGCCATTTGGATTTCCTCTTTTGAAAAAAATGTATGTTTAATTCCTTTGCCCATGTCTTAACTGGGTTGGTTGTTTTGTTGTGGAATTTCTTGATCTCATTCTATATTCTGGTCATTAATTCTTTATCAATTGCATAGTTTGCAAATGATTTCTCCCATTCTGTAAGTTGCAGTACAGAAGCTTCTCAGTTTGATGTAATCCTGTATGTTACTTTGGGCTTTGATTGCCTATGCCTCTGGGGTGTTTTCTAAGAACTCTTTGCCTGTTCCAATATCTTTCAGGGTTTCCCCAATGTTCACTCATAATTTGAAAGTATCAGGTCATAGATTTAGGTCTTTAATCCTTTTAGATGGATTTTTGGGTAAGGTGTAAGGTAGTGGTCCTGCTTCATACTTCTGCATTTGGAAATCCAGTTTTCCCAGCACCATTTGTTGGAGAGGCTATCCTTGCTCCAGGGATTGGTTTTAGCTTCTTGGTCAAATATAAGTTGGTTGTAGATGCTTGGATTCATTTCTGGTGTTTCTATTCTGTTCCATTGGTCCATCCAACTGTTTTGTACCAGTGCCATGCTCTTTTGATTATAACTGCTTTGAAATATGTCTTGAAATATGGTATTGTCATGCCTCCAGCTTTGTTTTTGTTGTATAATATTGCTTTAGCTATTCGAGGTCTCCTATGTTTCCATATGAATTTCAGCATCATTTTTTTTCTGGATCTGAGAAGAATGTTTTTTGTATTTTCATTGGTATCGCATTGAATTTGTAAATTGCTTTTGGAAGAATTGTCATTTTGATGACATTGATTCCTCCAATCCATGAACATGGGAGATTTTTCCTTTATTTTTGTATCTTCTGTTTCTTTCTTTAATATTTTGTAATTCTCATCATTGAGATTGACATCCTTGGTTAAACTTATTCCAAAATATTTTATTTTTTTCTTGCTATTGTAAATGGGTTTGATCTTAGAAATTCTTCCTCAGCTGTGGCATTATCTGTATATACAAAGCCTATTATTTTATGTGTATTGATTTTATATCCTGCTACTTTACCAAACTCTTCTGTGAGTTCCTATAGTTTCTTGGTGGAGTTCTTTGGATCCCCTAAATAAAGAATCATATCGTCTGCAAAGAGGGATAGTTTGACTTCTTCCTTCCCATTTTGTATCCCTTTGATTTATTTTTCTTGCCTAATGGCTCTGGATAAAACTTACGGTCTACCTAAACTGAGCCATGAAGACATAGAAAACCTAAACAAACCCATTACCAAGATGGAAATTGAATCAGTAATAAAGACCCTTTGTTTAGTTTTAAAATCAGACTGATTTTGGCCTCATAGAAAGTGTTTTTTTTTTTTTTCATACTATTTGTTGAACTCTTTTATTTAGTGTACGGTTAACCTTATGATGATTAAGTAAACTTAAAGTTGGCCTTTGTAAAAATTAAGAGTGGGAATGGGAGAAGAAGGAAGAAGAAAGATTGGAGCATGGGCAGAGGAGGGTAGGGTGGGAAGTATCACTATGCTCCTAAATCTGTACAGATGACATACATGAAACTTTTATAATGTAAATAAAATTTTTAAAAAGGGTTTGCAAGAGTTCAATCTTGTTCAATATTTGCTAAAGTTTGAAGAGTATAGGAACTATTTCCTCTTTAAATATTTTGTAGTATTTAGAAGTAAAGCCATCAAGTTCCAGAATTTTTCTTGATGGAAGACTTTTGATTACTGCTTCAATTTCATTGCTTTGGGTCTATTAGGTTTTCTATATCTTATTGACCTAATCTTGATAGGTTATATGTATCCAGGAATTTATCCATTTCTTCCATATTTTCTAGTTTTTCATAGTAGTGTCCAATGATCCTTTGTATTTCAGTGGTGTAGGTTGTTCTATCTCCTTTTTCATCTCTAATTCTATTTATTTGAGGTTTCTCTCTTTTTTCTTAATCTGGCCGGAGGTTTATATATCGTATTTATCTTCTCAAAATATAACTTTTGTTTTGTTGATTTTTTTTTGCAATTTTTGGTTTTAATTCCATTTATTATGCTCTGATCTTTATTATTTTTTGCCTACTGCTGATGTGGGGTTTTGTTTGTTCTTATTTTTCTAAGTCTTTAAGGTGTATCATTAAATCTTTTATTTGAGAAAATTTTTTTAATGTAAGCATTTAATGGTACAAACTTCTCTCTTAATACTGCTTTTGCTGTATCCCATAGGTTTCACTATGTTGTGCTTTCATTTCCATTTATTTCTAGAAAGTTTTAATTTCATTTTTAATTTCTTCAGTGACTCAATCATTCAGTAGCATGTTGCTTAAAAATGACATTTTAAGGAGTATTTGGACAAGACATCAGTCACACTGTGGGCGCAATCTCCTTTCTCTAGCAACTTATTATTAATATAAAATGAGAATTAATATTGGTCATAGGAATTCACATGTATTCCATGAAACTTCAAGTGAATAACGAATGGCAATTTTTTTCTTCTAAGAAAATAGTGGCTTGGATATTTGAGGGGGAAAATATCTCTTTTATCATAAATAATTATATATTTCACTTGACGAAATTTCTATTTAATGAAGTCAAGAGTAGACAGCTGAAATAGAAGAATGCTTAAAAGTGAAGAGTAAATGCATGAAACTATTTTTGGCTTTGCCTTAACTCCTGCCCTCTTTTCCATTTACAGCTATTCAAGAGCAAGAAAATGACTCCGTGCCACTATCCTCAAGCCCAGACATTTCCTTAAATAAGTCACAGTTAGACAATTGCCCGAGGGACTCTGGTTGCTATATCTCATCAGGAAATTCAGATAATGGCAAGGAAGATCTGGAGTCTGAAAACCTGCCTGACATGGTCCAGAAGATTAGCATCTCAGAGCCAAGTGTCTGAACATACATTCTCGCAATTTGTCTACAGATGCATCCCATTTTAACTCTTCTGCTAAAAGATCAAGTAGGAGAGAAAGAGAAATATTGGTAATTACGATCTAAAACCAAATTGTTTTATATGAATGAAAGTAAGTAAGAGTTTACATCTCTAACATTCCAAATTACTGTAAATAAAATGTATATTTATGTTTAATGCTATGTGTTAATATTTTACTTACCTGTATTAGAAAAATATAGTACAAACTTTTGATTATGTGACATATACTTTATTTGGTTTTATTTTACAAGTACAAAATGATAAAAATAAGCAAAAAAAACTCCCATACTTTCTTATACTTGTCAGTTTTGAATTGATATCTATTATTGAATGAATAGTAGTAGAAGGTGTTTCTGTTGAACTAAGCTGTCCAAAATAATGTCTGTACTCATTTTTGTACTTACAGGAAAGTGTGGGTTAATATTGGAGATATTTTATCCTTATCCATAATGGAGTTTTAGTAAATATTTTTGTTGATAATTTTCACTTTGTTGTCCAATATAAAAGTATAGCTAATTGTCACTCTTTATTTAGAAAAACTGGTTTCCAGTTTTTCCAGTTGCATATATTGTCTTGAAGTGTAAATATTTTTAATTTTAATATACCTTACCATAAATAATAAAAAGAACTCTGTGTATATTGTTTATCTAGGCTACTGTTCTTTAAATATTTAAATTTTTAGAGAAAATTTTTCATACAAATTTTTATTGTCAGTTTTCATGTTTTTTAGTGTTAGAGATTTCAAAAATGACTTCAACTTCTACTCATCTCCCCAGATCTACATAATATAATTTCTTAAATACCCCTAAGAAACTTCAAGTTAACACACCCAAGTTCTTACTTTTCTCTACAAATTTACCTCTCTTTTTTAAAAATTCCCAACTTCTCTACCAGTAGGCTCTAATCAGCTGTCATCAAAGCAGAAAATCATTTCTTGCTTCATCTCATTTATATCCTCATACAGGTCCAATAAGTAATTGAGTCCTATAATCCTACCACTAGCAGTATTTTCATATTCATGGTATTCTCCCCACTTCCCCAGTTGCCATCTTGCTTTGGGATGCCATGATCTCATGGGTGCAATTTGTAATGCCTTTCACCTGACCTTCTACCTTCTATCCATCCTCTACTCAGCCTCTAGAAAAATATTTCTAGTCCTCAGATCAAACCGAGTACTTCCCTACTTGAAGAATTTTAATGTTTATTGATTTATTTGAAAGGCAGAGTGACACACACACACACACACACAGAGAGAGAGAGAGAGAGAGAGAGAGAGAGAGATTCCATCTGCTGGTTCACTTTCCAAATGCCCTCAACAAGAAGAGTTGGACAAATCCAAAGTCAGGAACCAGGAACTCAGGGCCCACTAGTTGAACAATCATTTGTTGTTTCCCAGGCTGCACATTAACAGGAAGCTAGTTTGGAAACATAGGCAGGTCTCAAATCCAGGCAATCCAATATGGGGTGTGCTATGGGATGCAGGCATTGCAAGTGGTGATTTTGCATGCTATAACACAATACCCACCCCGTGCTCAAGTTTTTTTTTTTTAATGGATATTGTCTTTAATATAACATCTAAACTTTCTTCCAAGATGTATAAGGTCTTTCTCAGTTATTTTTTGCCTACCAGGTGCATGGTATCACTCTCATCTACATCCAAGTCTACACTCTTGCCATTACAGTTTGCTTGCAGCTCCCCAAATTCACAATTTCCTTTGTAACCTTTCGTATGTTATTTATTTTCCTGGAGTAGCTGCTGCTATTTTCTGCATTGTAATCCTCTCTCTTCTCTGTCTCTAAACTCACCACCAAAGACACCGGGAAGCCTTTCATGATTCCCATTGGTGCTCTGTTTCTTCTTTCATGGTTACATGCAAGTCATTGATTATAGTGCTTGTCATGTTATACTTTATCTATTTGTGTGACAAGTGCCCTTGCACAAGACTGTGACCTACATGATAGAGATTATTTTGTTTATCCTTGTTAATCACTAATACCTAACATAGTGCCTGCCACAGAGGAAATGTTTGCTGGAGTGTATTGAATGTGATGATTACTTCCCATATAACAGATTTCATCTTCATATTTAAACCATCTACTCAGCCTCTAGGTAAATACCTTCCAAAAATATACTCAGCCTATAGGTAAATACCTTCCAAAAATATACTAATCTCTAGTATATTTTTCCAGATCCATGAGATTTAATCCCATTTGCTATACTCAGGTCAGGCAAACACACATGCCTACCTCTGTTCTTCCCCTTTCACAGCAGGAAATGGTGTTTCAATTTATTTTTTTTATTTGACAGGTAGAGAAATAGACAGTGAGAGAGAGAGACAGAGAGAAAGGTCTTCCTTCCAGAAGTTCACTCCCCAAATGGCCGCTACGGCTGGCGCTGCACTGATCCGAAGCCAGGAGCCAGATGCTTCCTCCTGGTCTCCCATGCGGGTGCAGGCACCCAAGCACTTGGACCATCCTCCACTGCACTCCCGGGCACAGCAGAGAGCTGGACTGGAAGAGAGGCAACCAAGACTAGAACCCAGCACCAATATGGGATGCCGGTGCCACAGGCAGAGGATTAACCAAGTGAGCCACGGCGCCAGCCGCTGGTGTTCCAATTTATTTTTTTTAACTTTTATTTAATGAATATACATTTCCAAAGTACAGCTTTTGGATTACAGTGGCTTTTCCCCCTCTATAACTTCCCTCCCACCTGCAATCCTCCCCTTTCCCGCTCCCTCTCCCCTTCCATTCACATCAAGATTGATTTTCAATTCTCCTTATATACAGAAGATCAGTTTAGTATATATTAAGTAAAGATTTCAACAGTTTGCAACCACATAGAAACACAAAGTGAAAAATACTATTTGAGTACTAGTTTTAGCATTAAATCACAATGTACAGCACATTAAGGGACGAGATCCTACATGAGGAGTAAGTGCACAGTGACTCCTGGTGTTGACTTAACAAATTGACACTCTTGTTTATGGCATCAGTAATACCCTAGGCTCTTTTCATGAGCTGCCAAGGCTATGGAAGCCCCCTGAGTTCACCGACTCTGATCATATTTAGACAAGGCCATGGTCAAAGTGGAAGTTCTCTCCTCCCTTCAGAGAAAGGTACCTCCTTCTTTGATGACCCATTCTTTCCACTGGGATCTCACTCGTGGAGATCTTTCATTTGTTTTTTTTGTGTGTGTGTGTGTTTTTTTGCCAGAGTGTCTTGGCTTTCCATGCCTGAAATGCCCTCATGGGCTTTTCAGCCGGATCCGAATGCCTTAAGGGCTGATTCTGAGGCCAGAGTGCTGTTTAGGACATCTTCCATTCTATGTGTTTCAATTTCAAACATCCAAGATACGACCTCCATTACAGCCCCACTGTTGCTATGGCGACAACTCATGAGAGAGTATTCTAGGAATTCCTTGCACAGAACACTTCCAGGGACCAGAATTATTTAAGAATAAGAAAAATTTAGGGGTCAGCACTGTGGCATAGCGGATAAAGCCGGCACGTACAGTGCCGGCATCCCATATGGCACGGGTTCAAGTCCTGGCTGCTCCACTTCCATTCCAGCTCTCTGCTATGGCCTGGGAAAAGCGGAAAGAGAAGGCCCAAGGCCTTGGGCCCCTGCACCCCTGTGAGAGGCCTGGAGGGAGCTCCTGGCTCTTGGCTTCAGATCAGCGCAGCTCCAGCCGTTGCGGCTATCTGGGGAGTGAACCAGCAGATGGAAGACCTCTCTCTCTCTCTCTCTGCCTCTCCTTCTTTTTATGTGTAACTCTGACTTTCAAGTAAAGAAATAAAAATCTTAAAAAAAAAAAAAGAGGAAAATTTAATCAACTTGTTGCCTCCGGATACTCAAAAGAGTGCTGTTTGTTTGTGGAGGTTCCAGGGACTTTTGGGTAGGGACGCCACTAATGAACTAGTTGATTATACAGTGATGGAAATCCCCTGCAAGCAAACTAAGCCAGAATTGTAGTCTTAAAAATGTAGAATTGGGGTACACACTCAGGACTTAGGAATCGCTTTTGAGTAGATGTGCTTCAGAGTCCTTGAGGAGACTGAAGCAGAAGTGGAGTGCGGATTCCCGCAATGAGGGGAGATAGGAGGGAAGTGGATACACCAGGAAGTTCAAGTTGCCAGGAAGAGGCCCCATCGCTGGACACACTCTGTGTGCAAGGCTACCTGAGTGCTGCTGTCTTCTCTTTACCTGCTGGATATCTGCAGCTGTAGCTTCAGCTTACTCAGTGCAGGAGAGGGGCATCCACAGACGGAAGATAGGTATTTCTCTTGGCCATATAAAGCTGAGTAAAGTGGAATAGAAAGGTAAAAATATAGCTCATCCAAGATTGGGAGTAAGCTGAAGGAATGGGCATTTTGCTGCTTTTTCTTGCCAGTCAGGCATGATTCTCAGCTCTTTAAGACTGGGAGTGAGTTAGAGAATTGACATCTTGATGATCATATTGACTTTGTGTTTCTGGGTTGAAACCTAGTGAGATTGTTTACTTACTCAACAATACATGGTACCCACCACTTGTGCCAGATAATTTTCACCAGTTTCCCACTGCAAACAGCCAAGTCAGTCTTTTAGTTTGTACACAGTTGTGAACCCTTCCTGGTATGCAAAAATGATCTGATCCCAGAGATTTGCTAGATTTGCCAATTCAAATGTGTTGTGACCTTAGGCATGGTTAGAGAAATTTTATTCTAGGTAAATAAATAAAATCTTCATAAAATATTTCTTATAAAATAAAGATCATATCTTTTAAATTGTGCTTTCTCCCATTTTTTTAACATAAACATGATTATATTTCACCATGATGTATTTTTTTTTCCTTTTTGAGGAACTAAATTGTCAAGAGCATAGTAAAGAAATTAGATAGGTTTAAAAACTTCTAATATGATAGGCAGCTAAAGACACTCAGGTTTTCGACAACAGCCACCTCAGTGAGGTTTCAGTCAGCTGCCTTGTCACTTCCTGAGTGAGACCAAATTGATGACATTTCATGTTGAGAAACTTCCGTTGCAAGTCTGAGTTCTGAGAAAAATAAGGTGAAGAAATTTTAGGTAGTCCATCAGTCCGCACGCACACATTTCCAAATCTTCACCACCAAAAAAGATTGTGTGAGTAATTTACATGCCGATTTCAAGTGCTTCTTCATAAAGTGGGAAGTTGTGCTAAAAGTATGTGAAGGTTCAGAGAATGAATAGGGACTAACTACAGGTGAAAGAACAGTAGCTTCTGATTTTGGTTAGGGCTTTTTGGCTACAGAAATAAGAAAGAAGTTAGCCTAATTCTATGCTACCTCCTAATTGACTGCTGAATTGCTCTGATCTTCTTCACTGTTTAACTGAATACCTACACTGAGGTCATGGAGTTGACCATCTGGTTTGAGAACTGTTTAACACTGGGTAGGTATTTATCTTCAAGGTTTATTATTTTTAAATTTTATTTATTTATTTTGATCTATTTGAAAGGGAGAGTGAGACAGAGAGAGGAGAGAAAGAAAGAGCTCTCATCTACTGGCTTACTTCTCCAAATGCCCACACCAGCCAAGCCTGGGCCAGACTCACTCCAGGAACCTGAAACTCAGTCCAGGTCTCCCATGTGGGTGGTAGAAAGCCAAGCACCTGAGCCATCATCCACTGCCTCCGGGTGTACACATTAGCAGGAAGCTGGAATTGGAAGTGGAGTCAGGCCGTGAATCTTGGCACTCGGATAGGGTATGCAGGCATCTCAAGTGGCATGTTAACCACTGCTTCCCTTCTTAAGTTTCATCTACAAAATGGTGTCAATTAAGGAGATGACGTGCATAAAGCACTCAATGCAGAGCATATAGTATGTACATAAAAACCACTCCCTTTATTCTGTCTGCGCCTTCATTTTCACCCACTGATCTCTGAACATAAAAAGAAAGCAGTGCATGCACTACCATAATGAAGGCATGAACTTACAGTAATTATTTCTTAGGACGTAAATTGTCTAAAGGTCAGGACCATTGTGTTGGCAGAAGCAACGACAGAGAGTCAGCCACTTTAACAGAATTCTCAGAGAGAAAACCTTACTGTGGTGACAGAATATTTCTTTGTTTACTCCTGGTCCATTTAGCCAGGGGGCTCTGCAGTATTTAGCTTGGATTCTTTGTGCTTGACACCTGATAGGAGTAATCATTTTTGAAGAATGAATGATTGAGTATATCCGTGGATCTACATTAATGAAGGAATAAATAAGAGAATGGGGGCTACTATTGCTATTACTACACATATTAGACCCTAATCACTTATGTGTTTTTGGGGTAGAAGCTGATTAAGATATAAGAAATAGAGAAGCCCCTTGAAAGGCTCCCTAAATGTAGATAGACATTTGTATATTTATCAAGCCTGTAGGCATTCAGGCAAATGATCTGTTCTGGAAAATCAGAGTGTAAAAAGAGGCTGAACTTATCATTGGAGCTTTCATTCTTCCCTCTTCATCATTGCAAACTTCCAACATTTGAATGACTAACAGAATATCAGTAGGTCTGTGTGATGTATATTATAAATTAAGAAGCCATGAGACAAGAATGTAAAAAAAAATGGCATTAGTATTTTCAGTGGTCTCTTTTGACCTTCGGGGTACATGGCAGAACACCACTGCCCCACAGGGTAGGAGTGTGAACCTGATCCATAAAGCTAACAGGATTGTTTTTCGCAGAGTTCTCGGGCACCAGGCCAAGGGAATGGGCAGGAATCATTCCATTTGCTGAGTAAAATGGGGTGAAAAGCACTTCTGGCACATTTTGTCCATATAAATGATACTTGTTTGCAATTCATCAACTCTTTCTCTTCTTTATATCCATATGCAATGTAAATGATCATCTTTCTCTGAAGCTCCATAATGATGCACAACTCAGAAATGTGATAGAATCAGCTAAAAGAGAGCAGATGGGAGTTTTTTCCTCAATATTCATATTCATAAAAAATAGAGAACTCAACAAAAGGAGATACATAAGTACTATGCCTGGGGGCTGCATGGCTTATGTATGACAGTAAGTTGGTTTTCTGCAACTCTTTATTCTTCAAACCTTTTCTCATTCTTTCTCGCAGCAATCACTGAAGACGCTCTGGGAGAAAAGCTGTCTCTCCCTGTAAAAACAAATATATTTCCCTTTAGGTTTTTATTGCACCTTAGAATCCACCACTCAGGAAGCAATGGTTAAATATTTTACTAGAGAAATATAATCAGAAGGCAAACCATGTGAAACAGTGAGGTCTTGAGTGTTCCTTTCAAACACTGAAATGCACACTGCTGTACTGAGAGATTGTATGGGGGAAAGAGTGAACAGATTGAACTGTGGCTATCAATTTTTTTTAAAAAATACATGATTACACAGAGGCTAAGGAGGTTTATGTCAGTGTACTGATGAAACAGCAGTGCTGCCAGAAATATTGAAAAATACCACCAAAAAATAAAAGATATTAAATGCTAAAAAAGTTTTAAATTCCAAGAAAGTACAACATCATTCAAAAGACAGTTGTGGATTTTGGTAGCATAACCAAAGGAGAAGGATGCACCCCAAAATGACAGGTTTCTCACTCCCCGTGTCTCCCTCTAACCCACTGTCCACGTGGGACACCCTCCATCCACTCAGGGAGGTTTGCTGTGTGGCCTCCATGGAGGATCCGTGCCCTTAGGGTTTGTGTGGGCTCTGTGAGCGGGAAGTCCTATCAGAACCCTGGCGGGGCGGGGGGGGGGGGGGGGGGGGGGGGGGTTGGTGTTCTCTGGGAGGCCACTCTCTGCTGCCTGTCCCCCTTAGTCAAAGTCCTCTGAAGGGGATGTCTTGCACGACACTTTCCTTCAGAATCTGGTTATCACTGCTTTCCCAAGGCCCACCCTTCACTCACCACGCTGGAGCTACAGCCCCCCTTTCGAGCCAGCATTCATTAATGCCTCGCTAACTCAGTGCTTTCTACCCCACCCACTCCCACCCTTTGTCAATAAGTCTTCCTTGAATTGTGCTAACCCGATTGTCTCACCTGTTTCTCGTAGAGAACCAGGCTGCTACACTGATCGCCATCTCTTAGAGTCCAGTTACTTAGGTGACTTTTCAGGTGTGGTGAGCACTGCTGCGCGACTCCAGGATAGTTATTTACACGGTTTCTGTAAACCTCTACAGTATGGTATTTCTCTTTCATGACCAGCCTCCATCCCTGCTGACAATCGTGGAGCTTCAAGAACAAAAGAGAAAAGAGTGAAGCATGTGCACCAACACCAAAATGCACCCTTGTCCCTCCTCTACCTTTCAGTTCCTTCTTCATTTGTTCCACAGGGTCCACATCCACAGTGTGTTTGTTTTCCTTCCAAGTGACTACGAATTCCTGGAATTGGGATGACTGCCAGTGCCCACATGGAGATTTCCATGGAATAATTCAGACCAACCTAACTGCAAGGAACACATATTCTCTTCCTTACCAGTAACAAAACCCATAATTACTTTGCTTGGAAATATCAGGTCGTTTCTACCAGGACAACGCACAAATACCCACATTTAATAGTCATCTACCAACTATGTAACAAAATAGAACAGAGCAAGTGCACATTTTAGCTGCTTACTACTTAATCAGGAATATTTGATATTAATAGTATTTTTGGGCCGGCGCCGCGGCTCCACTAGGCTAATCCTCCGCCTTGTGGCGCCGGCACACCGGATTCTGTCCCGGTTGCCCCTCTTCCAGGCCAGCTCTCTGCTGTGACCCAGGAGTGCCGTGGAGGATGGCCCAAGTGCTTGGGCCCTGCACCCCATGGGAGACCAGGAGAAGCACCTGGCTCCTGCCATCGGATCAGCGCGGTGCGCCGGCCGCGGTGGCCATTGGAGGGTGAACCAACGGCAAAGGAAGACCTTTCTCTCTGTCTCTCTCTCTCACTGTCCACTCTGCCTGTCAAAAAATTAAAAAATAAATAAATAAATAGTATTTTTGGAGAGTGTTAATATATATGAAATAGCTCATCAATACTGAAATCATACTAGTAACTTTTCTCTTCCAAAATTCATGAATTCTAAGTTATATTTCACCTACAATATCACTCAATAACATGGGTCTTTCACACACAAAGCTTTAGGCCTCTTAATCTAAAAAGAGGTTATTGTAAAATATGGATGCCCAGATAATTTGCATGATTAATGAAAATATGTTTTAGAATATTAAACATTTAAGATGTTAGCATTTAGTAGGCTTTCTGACAGAAGTTAAAAGACTATTAGAATGACTGATGAATTGCTACAGTACATTAGGCCTCAGAACCAGGAATGAGCTAGAGGACATTTATGTAACTTCTTAGCATTCTTATTTTTTCCTTTCCACCCCCCTCCAACTAAGCTGTCCTTCTGTGACCTTGGCTCAGTTTTAAATGGCTAAGCACAGGACTTTGCAACATTTTGAGAAACTTACAAATTTCCTGGAACGGTATTAACAGAGAATGAAAGAAAGGAACTGTATTAGCCAGGGCTTTGCACACAGTATCTGACACACAGTCAGCGATTAATAAAGATGTGTTTAAGGAGGGAAACACCTCTTTCAAAGTTATGATGGTCAAATGTCCGTACAATGAAGAAAGAAAGTGAAATAAAAAAATCCCTCCCTGGTCAGTGGCAAGGTCATGGACAGCTAAGTTGTTCATGGCCAGGAGATGTAGACACACACACCTTTTCAGCATTTGTGAGGCATTGTGTTTCAGAATGAAGCTCCACCTGCTGAAGCCATGCTAAAGCCCCTTTGCCTTTGACTGCAACAGAGCTTGTCGGGACCCATTTGGTCTGTTACTTCCTCCTCGTGTTACACTTAGAGATGAAATATATCAGAAAAATCTGTCAGGGAGGTGTTTATATCCCCGCTGGGTAAAAAAGTAAAATACCATTGTAAAGGTAGGACCACAAGAAAGACCAAAATAAATTCTTAAGGTAGGAGCAATAAGCTGCGTAATGGCCTTGCTTTGAGGGAGACAATTAACATTACTTTAATTTATGTGAAGTATTATCGCCAAGTTATGAGCTAGCTCCTGCTCTGCGCCCTACTTGCCAAGACCTGCTTCTTTGGCACCTTTTCCTGTAGAGTGTTATTCAGTTTATAGTTCTCCAACACTCACATATCACACAGAATCTTTAATCCTGCATCAGTGAGCATGGAGAAAATTGTAGTATTATACATCACTTAAAACCCCACTACTTAGTCAATAATGCAAATAGTGGACAGAGCGACTATTTGGCTGAATAATTGCCCCCAGTGACAAAAATCGCTAAATCAGGGAATCTCATAAATTTTACTTGATTTGGGTAAAGGGTCTTTGCTGATGTGATTGAGTTTGGAATCTTAAGATAGGGAATTACCCAGATTATGTGATTGGACCCTAAATGAAATCATAAAAAGAGAGAAGTAGTGGTTTTTTTTTTAAAATCTTATTAAAACAGTATACACCCCAATAAATGCACTTAAGTGTATAGATCAATGTGTTTTTTGTCATCTGATCACTCTCAAAACCAACACTTAAATTAAGAACAAACCATTACTGGAACCCCAAGAGTCCTCACTATTTCACCAACTCCATTTCTTTTTTAATAATATGTGAAGTAAAAGTATATTCTCACCTGCATAGTACGATTCAGTGAAACCCTATTTATAACTATATACCAAATGATCTGACATCCATACAATTTTTTGTTTTCTCTATATACATGTTACTGCCACAAATAAGAAAAAATATGTTTTTTTGTGTGTGTCTGGTTTATTGCACTTACCCTAATGATCTTCAGTTGCATCCATGTTGTCACAAATGTTGGGTTTCATTCTTTTTTTGTCTGAGTATCCTATCATGTGTATATATATATATATATATATTTGTGTGTGTGTGTGTGTGTGTGTATGGCATTTTCTTTATCCAGTAGTAAGTTGATGGGCATCTAGGTTGATTCTATATTTTAGCTTGTGTGAATTGAGCATCTATAAACATGGAAGTGCAGGTAATTCTTTAACACACTGCTTTAATTTCCTTTGGCTATAGTCCCAGGAGTAGAATAACTGGGTCCTATGGTAGATATATTTTTAGTTTCTGAAAAATTCCATACTGTATTATGTAATTATTATACAAGATTATGTGACCACCAACAGTGTATTACAGGACTTTTTCTCCACATCGTAACTATTATTTGTTATTTTTTGATTTTTGAAAGGTAACCATCTAACTATTCACTGAGGTGATATCTCATTGTGCTTTTCATTTGCATTTCCCTGATGGCTAGTGATCCTGAGCATTTTTTATGTGTTTGTTGGCCATTTGTATTTCCTCTTTTGAAAATCTCGTGTTCATGTCCTTTGTCCATTTTTTAGCTGGGTTGTTTGTTTTGTTATTGTTGAGTTTCTTGAGTTCCATATATATTCTGGATATTAATCCTTTATTGGCAAATAGTTTCTCTCCTTCTTGCTTAGTTTCTCTGGCTAAAACTTTCAGAAGTATACTGAATAGCAATGTGAATGTGAATCTCCTTGCCTGGGTCTAGATCTTAGTGGAAATGCTTCCAACTGTTCCCCATTCAATATGTTGCTGGTTGTGAGTTTGTCATACAAAATTGCCTTGAATGTGTTGAGAAATGTATTTTATGTCCAATTTGCTTATGGTTTCCATCATGAAAGAATCTTCTATTTTATCAAATGTTTTCTCTGCATCTATTGATATAACATATGGATTTTATTATTCAATTTGTTAATATCATGTATCACATTTATTGATTTGTGAATGCTGAACTATCCTTGAACACAGGGATAAATCTCACTTGGTCCAGGTGAATGATCTTTCTGAAGTATTGTTGGGTTTGATTAGCTAGCTAGCATTTTATTGAGGATTTTTGCATCTATGGTCATAAGAGATATTTGTTAATAGTTCTCTTCCTTATTATATGTTTTTCTGGTTTGGGGAGTAAGGTGATGCTTGGCCTCATAAAAGGAGTTTGGGAGGATTCCCTCTCTTTCAGGTGTTTAGAATAGTTTGAAAAGGCTTGGAATTAGTTCTTTAAAACTTTGGTAGAATTCATCAGTGAACTCATTCTGTCCTAGACTTTTCTTTTTGGGGCGGGGGGGGCAGTCTTTATTGCTGATTCAATCTCCATCTTAGGTTTTCTGTCTTCATGATTCAAATTTGGTAGACTGTATTTGTTCAGAAAACTATCCATTTCTTCTAGATTTTCCAATTTATTGGCATATAGCTATTTGTAGTAATTTCTGATGATTCTTTTTACTTCAGTGGTATCTGTTGCAACATCTCTTTTTTCATCTCTGGGTTAATTGATTTGGGTATTCTTCCTTTTTTTTTTTTTGGTTAATTTGGCAAAGAGCCTATCAGTTTTTCCTTTTTCAAAAAATAGCTCTTAATTTCACTGATTTTTTAAATCATTTTTTGGTTTTAATTTTCTTTATTCTATAATATTCAGTATTTCTTTCCTCCTACTAATTTTGGCTTTGGTTTGTTCTTGTTTTCCTAAGTCCTTGAGATGCATTATTAGATCATTCATATGATGCTGTTCCAATTTCTTCATGTAAGCTCTAATTACTATAAACATGCCTCTAAATACTGCGTTGGCTCTATCCCATAAGTTCTGAATATATTGTGTTGTCACCTTCATTCATTTCTAGGAATTATTTATTAAGATTTTGTTTATTTTATTTGAGAGGTAGAGTTACAGACAGTGAGAGGAAGAGACAGAGAGAAAGATCTTCCTTCTGTCGGTTCACTCCTCTAATGGCTGCAACAGCTGGAGCTGAGCCAATCCAAAGCCAGAAGCCAGGTGCTTCTTCCTGGTCTCCCACATGGGTACAGGGGCCCAAGGACTAGGGCCATCCTCCACTGCTTTCCCTGGCCATATCAGAGAGCTGGATTGGAAGAGGCACAGCCAGGACTAGAACCGGCTCCCATATGGGATGCCGGCACCACAGGCGGAGGATTAACCTACTGTGCCACGGTGCCAGTCCCTAATTTTTTATTTCTTTTATGACCCAATGTTCATTCAGGAGCATGTTATTCAGTAACCAAGTGTTTGCTTATGTTCTCAGGTTTCTTAAATTGTTATTTTTCAGCTTCATTTCTTTGTGGTCAGAGAAGACACAAGGTATGATTATGACTTTTTTTTTTTTAATTTGCTGAGACTTGTTTTATGGCCTAGCATAAGGTGTATCTTAGAGAA